GCGGGGCAGCGGGAGCCTGCGGCGGGCGCCGGCCGTACCTGCGTGGGGTTCCCCGACCACCTCCAGAGCTGGCGCGCGGGCAGGAAGGCAGAGATCTTTGGCCGGTTTTCCACCGAGGGCAGGCGCTGCCTCCGGGAGAACTCTTTGGCTTTGGAGAAGCTGAGGGCCTCCTTGCGCTTCAGCTTGGCCTTGGGGCCAGCGGCGGCGGCCTTGGTGAGGAAGCAGCGCTGCGGCGCGCCGCTCTTGGAGCGCAGGGCCTCCGGCTGCGCCAGCAGCGCCGGCACCGGGTGGGAGAGGCAGGTCTGGAGCAGCAGCGTGGAGTCCTCGTCCTCGGAGCTGTAGGAGGAATCCTCATTGTCAGAGGAGCAGAGGCTGGAGGTGGAGATGGAGCCGGAGCTGGAGGAGGTGGAAGAGCCCGAGGAAGAGGAGGAAACCGAGAGGCGGGTCATAAAGCGCGAGGGCACGTCGGCACCCAGCCCGCCCGCCTCCTCGTCCTCGTCCATGTCCGAGTAGGAGCTGTGGCAGTCGCTGTCGCAGTTCAGGGTGAACTCGGCCTGACCCGAGTATTTCCGCAGCGCCAGCCCCACGGGCAGCTGGTGCACGGGCGCCCGCCCCTTCCTATCCTTGCCCGCCAGGGCCGCGTGGGCATAGCCGTGGCTGGCCAGCGGCCGCTCCAGCTTGGCCCCAAAGTCCTTCTCAGCCAGCAGCAGGGCCTTGCAGTTCTTGTTCTTGGGGGACGTCACCCCTTCGTGGTCCAGCTTGACCAGGTACTCGCTGCCTGCCTTTCTCCGGCTGCTTTTGCCCATTTCTGCCTCCAGCCGCTCGGCTTTCTTGGAGCGCAGGAGTTTCTGGGCAGCCGGCAGCACCAGCCCAGCCCCGGCCCCGAAAGAGGCGTAGGAGCTGGCAATGCGGCTGAAGGAATCGGCCCCAAAGCCGTTGCCGAAGACGGGGGTGGCGAGGTGGTGGTGATGGTGGTGCACGGGGAAGATGGCCTCTTTGGCCCGCAGCTTCTTGGCGCTGCCGTTGACCTGGAAGAGGTTCTGCAGCACGGCTGTGCCCTTGCTCGCCGCCTTCCGCTTCGTCTGCGCCACCGCTGACCAGCTCAGCAGCGGCCCGCCACGCCGCCCCAAGAAGGGGTCGCTCAGCACCGGCGCCTTGCCGCCTGACAGCACCTCTGCAGCTTTGCCTGGTGGGAGACGGGGGTCAGGAGGGGCTGGTGGCCACAAGGGAGGACAGACGGACAGACGGAGGGAGGCAGGGATGCTCCGGGACTGCCCCGGTCCCTGCACATCCCTCCCTGCAGCCTGGTCTCGATTCCATCGCTGCAGCGCCCTGCGCCACCGCCTTCCTCCATCCCCGTCCCTGCACCCCTCCCTGCATCCCAACCCTCTGCACCCCATCTTTCCCTGCATCCCCTCTCCCTACCTGCATCCCTGCCTGCTTCCCTGCCTCCTATCCTCCCCCATGCCTGCATCCCAGCATCCTTGCCTGTATCCCCTCCCTTGTCTGCTTCCCTGTGTCCTGCCATCCCTTTCCCATGCCTGCACCCTTGCATCCTTCCTCTATCCCCTCCCCTGCCTGCATCCCAGCATCCTTCCTTGCATCCCCCCCCACCTGCCTCCCAGCATCCTCCCCTGCATCCCAGCATCCTTCCCCACATCCCACCATCCCTCACACCAGCGCTGCCAGTGCCGCCTCCCTTGGGCACCCCAGGCGAAGGTGGTCCGCAGGTGGCAGCCCCGTCCCATACCGCTTTTCTCCTTGCCGGCCGCTTTCTTGCCCGAGTTCTTGGGGGGCTCGGGGCCGTCATGGCGGTCTGGACAGAGGCTGGGGGGCAGCTCGCCGGGGGGAGGCACGTCGCCGCACGACCGCTTCGTTCGTCGGCAGGAGCTGGAGACCAGCAGCGCAGGGGACGGCTCGGTGCCTGCGGGCAGAACGTGGGGTCAGGGCCAGCCCCGCTGCCCCCCTGCCCGTCCCCTGCCCGCGGCCCCCGTCCCGGCCCACTCACACTGGATCTTGAAGTCGGGGGGCAGCAGGCGGATATTGGAGACGGCGATGTGCCCCGTGTCCCCGTCGTCAAACTCCACCATCACCGCCTCGGGGTCATCCTCCTCCTCGTCGCTGGAGGAGCCTGCGGCATGGGGAGGGCTGTCAGGATGGGCCAGGGGTCCCTGACCCCCCCCTGCCCCACCGGCTGCCCCCCATCCCACCAGCCGCCCGTGGCTGCTCCTCACCTCGCACCACATTCCCCGGGTAGAGGCACCGGGATTTCTGGCTCCAGTAGGCGCAGACACGGGTGCCCGGCGGGAGGCTGCGGCGCGGCTGGGGGCGGAC